TGGTAGGAGTAAAAGCATTTACTTCGCAATCTAGATCTGCATAACCCTTATTTTTTCTTTTTTGTTAAGGATTCAGACTCATGTTTAATTTTCGAGCTGTAAGAAATGCATGTTGGTGTCCCACAGATCGGAGCGATTCACATTTGTGATCAATACCATGTCTGCTGATCAGAATGCGCCACCCCTCCCCTAATTTTTGACGCTAAGCTCTAAGATTGACTTTGTCAATAACTGTAGTTGCAGCAGTGCATTGTTTTAGCCCATCCCAGTCATACAGTGCCCTGCACATCAACAGCTTTTATGACAAATGCCTTGCATAAGCTCACCAGATACATCGATACGTGAGGACACTCTTAGCAGCATCACCGTTATATATGCACACGTGCTCACAAGTAGTTATTAAAAACGACTGGAAAATAAGGTTTTATAAAGTATAGGAATGGTTAGTATTACAGCAACCAAGTTGTCGTCTATTTAGCAGAGTGTAATGGGTAGTGCAGCGAGTAGTGATGAAATTATGTGAAATGATCCTGAAGGAAACAACTGGTTAACAGAACCAGTTATGCTAAATTTTCATGAGCGGTTATCATATGGCATGCGTTAGACATTGCAAAGTAACCCATCAACGTATGTTATGTTGAAAATGCTGCGAAGCGTTTAAAAATTATGCATTTTTGAGAGATACATGAGAAGAGGTAGTTATTGGCTGTATGTGGTAATTTCAAGATAAAAAATAGCAGTGAATTAATAATTATATATACGTAAAATAATAAAAGTTGTATTTGAACAAAGAAAGAAGAAACATTGGCCCAGAATTATCTGGATCCATTTTATTTCATCGGTTCTCGTCACTGTGTACAACCTGAATTTATTTATTAAAACAAAAATAAGGTGAATAATTTTAAGAAACCTTTGTCCATTAGCAAGCATATTGCCAGAGTGTCATAGTAAAATAAGGCGTTGCTATTTACAGGGTGTCGAAATTCGTGGTTGCTAATATAATTGTTTCTAGAAGTGCTTGGACTAACACAACTTAATGAAGATAATAGAGAAAAGAAAATCAGTAAATTAGTTAAAAGTTCGATGCGTAAGTAGCAGGGTCGGGTTGTATGTAATTGACTGCACTGAAGACCGAACTGACTTTCATTTACCATTCTACCAACAGTTTAGTCTTTTAGACGGTGTAGGGAGGACATGTTAATGAGTCTCTCTAGGCTCCGTTTGAACCCATCGGGGTTTTCACAACATCTGATTTCAGATGGTTAGTTGGTTCCAAAAGGTGTAGTATTTATTGGTGAAAAAGTTTGCCCTAATGGATTTTCTGTGGGTAGCCACCTTGACAAGGTAGTCTTGGTTTTGCAGCTGTTATGATTTGACATTTGCCCACATTATGGATGAGTTACCGTAACAATGTTTCCTCATGACTCTGAAGGGCATAAACAAGTTGCAATTCACTCTACATAACCATAAGAGTGCTAATGTCAGTCGTATGCACCTGTCAACATATTCCACTTGTTGGTCAAACCCTATCTTGCGCTTCAAGAAGAATCTCTGAACACTTTCGACATTTTCTCGATTTGCAGACCTTAATTTAAAAAAAGGAGAGCACAGTACAAATGTCCTACATATAGCTAATCTTGCTTCTTGGGTAGAAAGGTTACGCAGAACAAGGCCAGTAATTCGTTTACAGTCAGATACTACTTAATTTGCATGATCGGAAAGGGCTAAACATGAGCATGTTTTCGGTTTTGAGAGGAGGTGACCGTACATATGCAGACACATGCTAGGTTCCCAGTGTCAAAGGTGTGCCAGTCTGGGTTGAAAGCAAGATGCCATTTTTCGCTCCAACAGTGTACGCTTGCATCCTAATGCTTCATCACGTTTCTTAAAGTACCCAGTTATCGCGATTTGGCGACATTCTCAACATACGACAGTAGGGCGGGCGTGAGGATACATGACTTTTTTCCAAGACAGTAAAATCCAAAGTTTGAGCGGATGAAACGCCACGATATTAATCAAGCCATCAAACACATGGAGAAGGTACAGCACAATGATTATTGATAGAGGGGGCCACTACAAACTGCTTGAAATTAGGTTGCTAGAGAGTAATTTTGTTGGAGTTGAGTGAACGAACAAAATATTGCCTATCCTGTTGGGGCGATTATATGGCATTTTCCCTATTTGAAGTGGCGCCTCTAGCTTTACCTTGAGGGCATTTGCGTGGTGCAGATGTCACAACGAAAGTAGACAGAAATATTCAAATGAACTTTCAGATGCTGACTTTAGAAGACGTATTGAAGGCATATGGGAAATTCGCACGGTCGGGCGTCCGGTGCTATGGATATCCACATAAAACAGTGGCAGACCAAAATGTTATTTTCGAGTCTGTTAAAAATCGGCCTGTGTTTCGGTTTGATAAGGGGCCGCAACTGTTTGTCTCCCAGCTGTTTGTAGGTTCCCTGTATAGTGTACGATGGATGCGACAAATACTGCCTCCAAACCCTGAGAAATGAAGTATCTTTGGTCTTGTTAACCATGCACAATAGGCAACTTAAATGATTGCCACTAAGAGATGTCTGCATTATTGCCTTGTTGAGTTTACATGGTATTTCATCACTGATGAGGAATCTTTGTACATTTGACAGACCGAGTGGCATTTAACTCAGCAGTTCGTGCCATGAAAACTAAATGTACCCGCTGTAGACTGAATAGAATTAGCGTTTTTGTTGTCAAACTCTTAGCAGATGGTGATGATTCTTCCAACATATAACCTATACAGGTGTCTAGACAAATTTCCATAATTTTGTTAGCCATGTTGGCAAAATTCTCTGTTTCAAATTGCTTAGGTCATGTCCTTGAAATCCGGGAAGCATTCTACGATATTATCAGTAGCTATATTTGTTTTGGAACTTCTTCACCTAGCTTAAATGCCCAATGAGACGTTATTGTCATGAAGAAGATGAGAGGGATTTCACTTCTCATATCATATACTACTCGTAACTTTTTCACACTCTTTTCATCCGACACTGACGTTCAATCGGTCGGTCGGTGGGTTTTCGACATGGAACTTTGCACATATGTCCGGCAGTTCAAGTCGCCACACTCCACTCCATGTAGCACACAGAGCAAGAGAAGAAAGTAGAAGAAATGCATAATATAGACAGTAAACAGAGGTGTGAGACAAAGGAACAAGGAGAACAAAAGTTTAATTGGAAATCATAAGTCACAAGGAGTGGATGCATCTGCGCCAGCCATTGAGAACGATTTTGAGCCATGTCACCAATTGTTTCCAACCATTGGTTTTTACTGTCCCGAGGACCACGACGAGGAAGTCTACACCTTCCCACGTGGCTTAGACTAACTGTTGTGGATTTCATTGACTGGTGTCATGTTTTGGTTTGACCGCCGCTAGCTCTTTTCCAGCCTGACCCTATATCAGCTAACATTGCCCATAGGTTGAGGAAGGCGATGACTAGGCATACGTAACACATTTCCTAACCATCTCAGTCGATGTAATTTCACAGTCTCGTCGGCTGATTTCCCCTCCTTACCTTATTATACCACTTCACACGGGAAATAGAACGCAGACACCTATGATCGAACACAGATAATGTTTTCATGTCTTCTGCTCTCAATGGCCAGGTCTAACAGCCATAAAGGAGGACGGAGCGGACTGTTGAGCAGTACACACGCCCTTTGGTCGATAGTCGGATATCGCGTCTACGCCAGAGACGGCGTAAACTGGCATATGCGAAACTAGCCCTCTGTATTCGTGCTGAGATTTCGTCGGAGATCAACCCGTTGGGGCTGATGGTACTTCCTAAGTAAGTGAGGTGGTCGACGTGCTCTACCACTTCACTTCCTATTTCTAATCTAGGGGTCGGTGTAGTCCAATCCTACAGCATCATCTTACATTTGGCGGGAGCGAATCGCATGGCAAACATACGAAGATTGCAGCTGAAGGTATTCAGAAGACTCTGCATTTTGTCAGCGTCCTCGCCTAGAAGGACTATATCGTCCGCATATTCTAAGTCGACGAGATTATTCCATGGTAGCAAGTCAATCCCTGAGTCGCTGAAGTGTTTAGGATTAAGTCCATTAGTACGTCTATGATGAAGTTGAATAGAAATGGGGATAATGGCCATCCTTGACGGACGCCACTAGTCGTCACCACTTCAGATGACAACTCGCCATAGGCCCTCACCTGGCTGTATGAGTACGAGTAGAGTGCCTTAATCAGTGCAATGTATTTTCTCGGCATTCCTTTTACAGCCTGCGTCTCTGTAGCCTATTTTGGGACATCTGGCGAGAAAACCGTTCTTATTTCCACTTTAAAACAATTTGTCTTACTAAGAACTTTCACAAGCACTTTTTCTTTATTTTAGTGTGCACAGGTGCAAGCAAAACTTCATCACTCTAAACCAATTTTCCACCTGAATTTATAAGATCAGTTCCCGGTATCAGCCTCGAAATTTTCGGAAGTGAATAAATAGATACGGTTTAGGTTCAAAGTGTACAGGTTTTTGACAATTAGCTGTGGGTAATGATACTTTTGAGCGCAGTGTGCATGGTAGGTGTGAAACTTGTAAACAGATTTCATCCTACTACTATATTATGCATATTTGATGCAGAACTGAAAGAGAAAGCCAAGTAACAAACTGATCACACAAGGTATGACGTGTGCCTGAGGACTAACTCTACGAAATCAGTTTGTCTTTAGTTAATCAGGGATTGTTGTGGAAAAACCGAACGAGGCCAAATTATACAGGTACTTGACCCAGTTAATTCAGCCTGACCACTCCGCTTTAGCATTGAGGATAAGCAGTTATTTTCGAAAAAACACCTTAGTTTTAGGCTATTGACATTCCAAAATTTTATATCAGTAGGGTAGTAAAATAAATTTGTTGTTTCTTGCAGCCAACGCGAGAGTAAATTTAAGTCCATAATTTGTAACGGATTAACGCGGCCTGTTCGTAATCACACCCGCGAATGCCTAGATTATGCGGAGTTTTGAGTCGTACGTCAAGGTTTTCCAGCTAAAAGTAATTCATTTCGGGATTTAAGCATAATTCTTATGTAGCTAAGTAATTATGACAAGCATCCTTGGGAACATAGTGTTGAGCAACGAATTTTGCAAGTACGTTTGGAATATAAGATTTGTACACCTGAGTTTATACAAATCCTTTAATACAATTATTTAAAATTATTAGTTTTGAGTTGTTCTGTAAGGATTCGGGTTCATTCACATCGAGAAAAACGTTTTAGTAGTAAATGTTGTGTCCCACTAAACTTCGACAGCATATGAGTTGTCGCTTTTTTCATGAACGCCCATAAATTTCACACATTGTTAGGTGGTGAACAAATGAAAAGTACTTGAAAATTTGTATTTATGTAAAATTTCATGTGTTTACATTAGAATTGGAAGGAAAGGTGGAAATTCGTTATACTGGACTTTGTTGGTGATTACATCCAGCAAGAGTTAATAGACGAGAACTAGTTTTGTATTCAAATTAACTTTCGTATTCTTGACGGGAACGTGTTTTGCTTTACTAGTAACTCGTGGACACAAATGTTCTGATCATTTCTAATGATCGAGTGATATACGCGTACTCGTTTTACTTTCTCTTAAGGTGTTTGCACCCACTGTGATGTCTTTTTTATGGTTAGGTAATGTTGGTCTTTATAGTTTTCATGAGAATGTGCTGTAGGATCGCATGCTTGATTTTTCGACCAAAGTTAGTGGTCACATCTATAGTCACTTATCAATAAAGCATTGAATTAAGTAGGAGCTCTTTTCTCATTTGAAAGACCTGTTAGCACTCAGGGACTAGTGATTGCTTGCTATACTGTCAACTAAACCAGTTGTATAACGACATCTCTACACGGAGTCAGTATCCATTTAGTGTAAAATGCAGTAGACTGCAAATGATAGGTAGGATGAGGTGTTCTCGGGCTTCTCTGTTATTTTTTATAACACTGCACTTTTATACTGAGTCTCTCCACCAACGCGTGATATACTGTTATGTACCATTTCTCACTCTTGTTCATGGATGACATACCTAATGATGCCACTTACGTTGGTAACTCAGTCGCTTACGATAAGTACTCATTTGAAACTTATCTTTTTGCACCTGGATAGTTAAGATTCGTCGCTGGGATCAAGTAGGTAAGCGATAAGTCGAGTTTAATACTTGGCTTCTGTTTCACAGAGATAAACTTGCTCGACATACAGCTTCTAAGTACTAATCGATAGGGTGTGTGATGTAACTACATTCAACTCTGTATAGGTATATGGTAGTATTGACCATTTTACAGGTTTATTCACCGCATTGAAAAGATGTTTAAATGTACTGTTATTTTCAAATTTGTGTTTAAGGAAATAATGACTTATCCTTTGTTCACTTTAGGGAATAGATCAACATTCTGCTCATGATGGAAAAGCACGGGCTGGTCTTATCGATGTCGATGTAGTACGGGGTATGCAGTTATTCCATACTTTTTATTTCTACACGTTGTTTTACTTTTGAGTCGTTTACTTTCCGTATTTTAGTTGTGTAATCATATTTCTAAAATCGTACACAAAACTTCGATAAGGTAAAAACAGATGTCTTCGTTAGTTTTCTTTAGTAGCCATAAATTAAATAATGAGGCGAAAGTTATCCATAAGGTTTAGGAGTGCTTGCACATAACAAGAATATATTATTTTATTATTGGCAATAGATTCACTGGATGAGATATGAAGTCACTGTTGCAGTTATAAGTATTGATTGCTTCTCTTATTAAATTACTGCTTGTTATGAATATATGTAGCCTCAAAGTCACTGGGCATCATATCACTCTTCAGTTTGTCACGGTGTGATAAGTTTCTCAGTTTTTCCATTGTCATTGTTTATGTATCACAGCTACACAAGACTCCACTCTGCATTTTGCCGTATCTCGTGACCTAATCCGTTGGTCACTGTTTAAGCAAAATAACGGTTTCATAATTTGGTTTTGCATTCATGCCAAGATCCTATGAGTGATGTGCGTATTACAATTAGGGCTCTTACCAAAGGAGTTGGATGTAAATGGGAAATGTCGATTATTAATCCATTGAAGACTGTGCCAGCAATAATTTCATTCATCTTAACCCATAGTGTAATGTGTAGCGGCTATCACTTAAGTATACCAGCTGAAGGTACTCATTTTTACAATATTTTTTGTCTGCTGTTGTATTTGGGTTTCAACAAGCGTTCCTGTCTATCTGACTAACCAGATGTTAGTTAGCTTTGTGACTTAATGTGACAAATATACTGCAGTTGTTTCACTAAAACAATTTAAACTGATCAGAAAGTTGTTAGAGGTATTTCAACTCGTTTATGGCTTTGATATTAGATACCGTATAGAACAGTGAAGGTTTTTTGGTTGTCATGCCATGAATAACCGATGTATCTGTAATGTACTGCTAAGTTAATGTTGGATTTAAGTGCTGATTACTAGTTAACAACAGTATTCTGCTTAACAAACACCATATTACCACAGTGTTTACATTTTAATACCTTTGTTTATTTTAATGAATATGAAGGTATGACAACACAATACACTAGGAAAACTCTTTTTTGCGTTTTAGTGAAGTAAGCTGTCATGCAAATACGTAAAATAACCGTAGTTCGTGTACTTCGTGATAACGCCGGTAGGGAATAAAACATATGTAACTTAGTTGATGATACCCTCATGACAATGATTTTAAGACTGCTGTTTATTTTGTTATAGCATTGCAGAAAGCGAGTACCAAAGTTATTTAACTGCTTAAAAACAATTACAGAAATATCTAAAACATTTGCAGCTAACAAACATGCCTAATTCCTCAGTAAGGTCGTAAATCTTATGCAAAATTACAGCGAAGAATAGCAACTAATGAATTCTAGGGTATACCACTGTCTTGTCCAATTTCGAATAGAGTTGGAAGCATATGACACAATCCGCTGTAAATATTCTTGTATAATGAAGTTACTGAAGCAGTAATGCTCTGTGGATTAGTGACCTGATCTAGCTTCAATTCAATAAAAAACTCGGTCTGAAAGAACTTTGGAATATTCATCGTATATTAATGCATCACATCAGATTGTTAATTGCTCAGTTTTAATTGAAAGAGATGGACCCTAAGTCTAACTTAAGTAACTTTCTGTTGATTTTTATCGTATGTTTTTCTGAAGGTTCAGTTTTTAACAAAGGTAAACCTAGGCATGGATGGATGTCAGCTATACGTTTGGGTTTGCTTCGTGTAGCGTTTGCTCCGTTTTTCTGGAATTATTGGCGTGGGCATACATCGTTTCGTGTTGCTGTCTATATCATGGTTCACTTTTTTCTACAATTTCTACAAGTTGTATTTTTTCTTCTAACGGATCCACGAACTAGCAATGTAAGTTTATATCCCTAAGCTTTTATTTACATGACTGTTCAAAGGTATTATTCAAGTGAAACATACGAGTGAACTAACTCCCAAGTTTAGCATCTCAAAATTAAGTGTTTTGAAGCAGTTCATAATATTTAGTGTTTTCTTAGGCTGTATCTTATACAACAACAGTTAAATGAATACATTTGTCATTTATATTGTATACAGAAATATAAGGTCCTGTATTGTTTCCATATGTCATTCTGCATACATCTATTTATGCTTTGATATAGAAGTAGTGGTTTAGAAATACGCATTCAGGTTAGTAATTCGCTTTGATACTTATGATTATCTTCAGCACGTGCTGGATATCGATGTGAAATTCGTTCTAACAACACTCATTGTATTTTAACAAAGCTAATTAGCCTAGTATTATGGTATGCAAATGTTGTTGTATTTATATAATTTCGCAGATTTTTTTGAGAGACAGATACCTTTCGTCATAACTTATAAAATTGTGACGTATTTCTTATAGCCCTTAATAATGTTATGGCTTACATAATCACAATCCTTTTTTTCGGTTTAGAGTTCACAGGATGATGTTCTTCTCCCTTGTTTATTGGCTGTATGCCTGGGTATTCTTCATGCACATATAACCGCCCCGCACGGGAAGACTAGTTTATATTCATCCGTAAAGGATGGTCCATTATCCGCTCAGTCTTTCAAGGATACGGGTGATCAGGTTCACAGTTTAAATGCAAACTTTTACCACCACTGTCCAGATAACTTACAGACTAATAAACATGGGAGTACACAGAATAATTTGAAAAGACCTAATGAATATAATCGGCATCCTACGCATTCATCAACTTCAGAAAGTCGACAGCATTTAAATAATATGTAAGTCTATAAGTGTCATATTTTGTGCATAGGAATGTTTTCCGCTTTCCATTTCAATACAATGAGTTTGATTTCTAAACTTTTTAGCCTTTTTTGTAATTGGTTTTTTTTGTTTGAATATTTAGTCTCATATGAGAATCAGAATCAATTTTTTTGCCCATATTTTTCATTATCTTAAGAATATGCGTGGAACCCGAGAAACCACTACATGGAGGTATTAGATAGGGTTTTTTGAAAGAGCTTCATCAGTACATTACTATACGGAAATAATATAGCACCATTATTGTGTGTCATCCAGTTTCACCTACATCGGATGATTTTACCAGGTGTATCCGAGAAAATAACAGAAACAAGTCACTTGGCTCGGATTCTATTATCTCAAAAATGCATTCATTAGAAGGCTTCTTCCTAATTGAACTGCTTTTAAGATTTTTACGCTCTACAACATAGCTTTTACCAGTTCTGATGGGAACATTAGTTGTAGAATGAAAAAAGAGTATATCAGTGTATAAACCAGTCAGTTACAAATGCAGTGTCTGTTTCACCAGTGAAAGCCAACTTAGCATTTTGTTATTCTGCTGATGAAATTTCAAGTCTCTTTCTGATTAATTCTCGAGTATTGCCATTATTTCTCCATCAGAGACTTAAAGTTGGAGTTGGAGTTGGAGTTCATCCAAATGTTTCTGTGCACTGTTTTTGGTAGTAGTTGTTTTAGTACATGAATACTCAATAAATTCTAAGGTACCCATTACAAGAGCCGATTTTTATATAATATTAGTGCGAGAACTTACGATTAAATAGTTATAATTAAATTCTGTATAAAACTTGGATACTGTGCTAGTATATAAATTTATATTGATTTGCTTATCGAAGCAGTGAAACAACATTAGTCACTGGATGAAGTTTTAAACAGAATTTATTGTTTATAATCATATTAACTATAACCACGCAACTTCGAAACTCGGTCTTTATACTACTCGTTCTTCTTTGCCACTTATTTTAAAGGTAGTAAAGTTTTCCAGATCCTCGGGACACGTGTTAAATCCACCCCCTACTGCACGTATTCTCAGTTGATTTGATAAATAGAGCTTGACTCATCAGTCTCTGCTATACAAGATTTTAAGACTATCGCTTTGTCCCATCTGACTGTATCTTTGCGTGCTGTAGCCGAGCTTTTATTTTAGTCTGGACTTGTGCTATTTTTACGAGTTGATCACGGACTGATATCAGTTAGAGATCCTTACAAACCAAACTATAGAAAATTGTGCTATTTTGCTAATTATTAGATGGTCGGAGACAATCGGTAGGAAGCCTTCGAGCCAGATTTTGTACCTGATTGACCATCGCCTACCACTCTAATTTATATATGCGATGTGACCTTCACTGAAAGGTATTGGTTGAGATGCCCGAAAATAAACTGTTTTTTGTAAATTTCAAAGCCAAACGCAGTTCATACATGTACTCACGAATGTACTGTTTATTAGTGCTATTTTAATAGATTTGATCTCATATTGAATTGTAACTTGCGTGTATACTTACAATGTCTTCAGCTACTCGGCAAGTCATCATTTGAGCAGTTCTCCACTTCATAACCAAGAGAATGTAGATAATAATTCAGAGCATCCAGATATCTATGAGAACAACTGTTCTGAATATTACAACCCTTCAGATTTAGTATGCAGAGATTATGGAAAGTCACAAAGAAATATACACTGGAAATCCGGTGATCCAGAGTTTCGAAAAATTTTAACTTCATCCCATAAATCCTATTCAGCTCATCCTAACAGTGATTATCATGGTGAATTTTCCACTATTTACAGACAAAGTGGTAATAATCAATGCGAATTAAATGAATCTGATATAACTCACGAAACAGAGGGTCCTCAGTCTCCACTAACTTTGGAAGAAGAATGTGGAAGAAGTAAACTTCTTCATAGTTCTCAGATATTAGAGCATAGACCAAGACTGGTTCGTAGGCGCAGACGCCAAAATAGCTATAGTTCAAAGCATGGGAATTCAAGTCGTGGACACGATGCGGATGTGGAGGAAAGTGAAGCTGAATCAGAAACTGTTCCGGTTAAAAAGAACACTGATTTAGTTGGTTTTGATGACCAAGGTGTTCCATTTGAAACAGTCAATGAGGCTCATCCTGATTCACGTTCTCAGTCATACTTCAAGGATAATGTCCACCATGTAATGAACTCTAACCACCAGTTAACATCACAATTAAAAAAGCCGTCTAAACGTGTATCGAAAAAGGAGGATTCATCTGAATTTCAACAGGATTCTTCAAATCAATTTGCAGGAAATCTTGGTGCAAACATTTCAGTCGTAAGTATCTACTTCTGCATGACATTGTTTAATATATACAGTTGGTGGATAACTATTATTCTGTAAATTCATTTTTGTGTTAATAGAGAATTATGTAAATTCATAAGATTAGGAGTTACCTACTAATAAATTTTGTTTATGAAAACGTTTAAATTAATATATTTCCGTTTCACACTGTAATTCTGTTTTTCATTGCTATCATTAAGAAGGTATATGAGGCACAGAAAGTTTTCCATTCTAGTATATACAAATAAGAGGTACTATTTAGAACAATCTATCACCTAAGACGTATATCTTTTATTGCATATGCCGTAAAAAAATTCTCATTATCAGTGGCAAATATCATATTTGTCATAATATTGGTTACTAGTCGGGAATTGCTTATGTTGAGGGACAACAAAATACGCTCATTTTAGCTCACTATTATAAATACCTTTAACTTTCTCGTACTATATTCGTATCTTAACCTATTTCCTGTATATTAGTCGAGATATTCAGTTTCTGTATAACTTGAATTTAGTTGACATCAAACAAGCAAGTCGCGCGTAGGGAACAATTTTTGTTTGTTTTTTTTCCTTCACGTTCCCCAGTGGAACATAGGGCTTCAAGCTAGTGGCTTGAAGTTTCTGTAGTAGTGTTTATTTTACAGGATGAAGTTGCTAGCCTCATGCCCAACCTTTCCTCTTCACCAGCATTATTTCTGGCTTAGCGAAGTAAAGGAATGCGTCAGCCGGGAGTCGAACCCCAGACCATGTGGATGGTCGGCGAGCGTCCTAACCGCTATGCCACCGACGCACATTTTTGTTTATGTGGCATTCATGTATTTGATTATCGCGCGAATTTGTAGCCTGACATTTCGTGGTAATCTTGTTTGTTTTCTGTGTAATAAACGATAACTCATCAGTTAGTCAGTCATTATCTTCATGGCATTATTGTGTAGTAGGTTGGTACTAAAGCACCCCATGTCTGAACGCCAAGGAAATGGTAACATAAAGAAAAACAGTATAATTAACGATCTTAGAATGCTTCACGAAGAAGGGAAGAAAAGATAAAGCTGGTAAAAATATTCCGTATTAAAACTAGGCTGAAAATAATCTAGTTAATGCGTCTGCATCACTGTGACTGATTCTGAACTATATCGTCCTAGAGTCTCTAACTCTAATTTTCTGTGATTAAGTTGACTTCTGTCATGTACATCACAAACAAGCTGTCATTGACCTGGTGCTATGCTGTGATTTGGTTACTCTACTCCTTTTCTCAGGGTATTCCTTCTCTCGTTGATGTTTTATATCAAGGAAAAGGAATGGGTAGAAGTGCCCCACGTAATATGTAGTTTCATCAGGTATTAGAGTTTTATGATGTCGATTATTATAAAAGCTTTTGTATCTCCCAATGAATGAAAAAAAAGATTTTGTCTTAACTGACATTTCTCTACTTAAAGCTGCTAATAGCTTTGTCAAAGTATTATTAAACCAGAATTTTAAAAATCTCAGCTTTTATATAACAACTTAATCATCGTTCCTCAGCATAGAGTGATTTTTGCTTTGTCAAATCGGTCAACTGGCAAAGATAACAAAACCAGGTGTACATTGTTGGATTTGATCAGTGTGTAAAATTATACAAAAGCAGCGTGTGTTTACATAATGAAATTGCTTATCACATTCGTGTTGATTTTGTCATTTCATGGATGGTGGTGGGGTGTTGTAACCAGGTCAAATTCTGTTTTAGTCCATCATTCCTATTCAGACAATTTGGATTCCATTTGATATGAAATGCTTCCGATGATATCAGACGTTCTTTGTGATTTCTGAAATGCTCTTTCTGGATGATGATTTCAATATTGTCAAAATCCTTTTTGTGGCCTGACTGTATAGCGTAGCGTGTAGACGACCTATGGCTGATGATTTTTCAAGCTTTTCTCGTTCAACTGGATTTATTTCTCGGTGGTCGAACAAATGCTCTACGGTATTCATTTCTTCTGATTTTGATTTCTCTCTGGTGAGGTGTGTCCGATGTATACCGTATCATATTTCGAGCACTTTATTTTGTAGACACAAATTAGATTGAGATTCCCTAGGGATTTGATCTTTTACATGGACAAGGTTGCTTTGTAATGTGTCTGATGTCGAGCTTATTGAGGACTCTTCTGATATCGTCTGACGTTTCTGATCTATGTGGAATGACAACTGTTGAGGCTGATGAACGATAATTAAGTTTACGACTTTTACTTAACCACGTTGGACAATGCTCCAGAAGGCGACGGTGGGCTTGCCTATGTAACTGTCTCCACATGAACAGTTAAATTTATAAATGCACATTGAAGTGGCCAGACTTGTTAGCTTATCCTTCTATAATCTATTCACAATCGATTCATACATACTTACACCTCTTGAAATTTCGAGTTTAGTGATTTGATGTTATTTAAAAACCATGCAATGATTCCGTCAAATATAGACCAGGATATGAAGTTTACCTGGAAACTTTTTAGAATGTTTCACAACCATAGAGCAGAACGGAAAGCATTGTTGCTCATCAGGTAATGTCTCTAGTCTCACATATCGTGTAGTCGGGCAAAGCCAAAAAAGCTTTTCATATGTGTGCTAACATTTAGCCGGAAACCTTAATAAGATTAATATGGCTTTTTAAGCAGGTGAAATTGTCGAAAGACTCAACTACCTCAGTTGTTGTGGTTCCACATGACTATAAATCTTAATCATTCTTAGATTAATGACTTACATTTAAGAGATTACGAGTGGATCCCCAGAATTTCTCGATAGTCCTTTAGTCTTTCAAGAAATCCATATCTCTTAAGAGTCCTTGACTAAAAAATCTGTTCCATTTGTTTACTGTGGGTTAGATAAAAAATTTCCCGCTAGTAGGTACATGTCTCTTAAGTCAGATGAAGAGATAGGTATTTCTATGAGAAAATCTACTATAAGTTTCAATATCAACAATACCCATCGAATTCGGTATTCAGTATATATATATATATATATATATATATATATATATATATATATATAGCATAAAGCTGTTGATTGATGGCAGGTGGCTTGTCACTTTTCATTTGACTTATCACGTTTGTTAGGTAATTATTGCATAATACTAGATTTCGCAAATGTGCTACATTGTAAAACGTATAGTAGACCTAAGGTCTTCCATGTTAGAAGCCGAATGGAAGTGGCTATAGAAATTGGCTACTGGATCACGACCAGTATGGTTGTCTAGTTTTACTTGAGTTGATTGAAATCTGCCTGAAGTTTGACCACCGGTTGATATCAGTTAAAGAACCATTGAAAACTAGGGAGTACTGAACAACTGTTTCTTCCTAGTCTGGAACTCATCTACAGTACGCACCAACCGGGTTTCAAACCTTGCACCTTCCGGTTACAAGGCAAACTCGTATACCATTCAGTCTCTGGGTCCCGACTCAATGGCCAGCCCATGAATTCTAACTTCTGCCAACTCGTGATGTGATAGCGACCACCAGACAATGTCATAGGTGGCGAGTATTGCTCCTCACTCCCGACCGGGTGGTCCCCACTGATCACGACTTCTCACTAGGACTCCAGGCAACTTCGTCCTGCAGCCAGTCACTAGCAAGCATCAGATTAAGTTTCAAGAGTTAGTCTGTAGGTACTTTATTTGTTTAAAGTTTGATCACGGATGAGTCCCAAACTAGGACGAAACAGCTATCCATTACTCCCTGGTTTTCAATGGCTCTCAAAATTGAAACAAATCAGAACCCTACAAAATAACACTTTGAATTTGCCTGTCTAGTATGCAAGTATACACATCTGTTTAGTTTTGAAAATATGGCTGATGAAAAATATAAATAACTTAAAATCTAATCATCTGCATTTGAAAGTGGTGTAGTAAAATGTCATCACAGCCGTTTATTACCTTTTAATTAAATGTCAGTAAATTGATGGCACGCGAAATGTATATCACCAACTTAATTTTCATCTGCTATAAAATAAAGAGAATTGTATTAAGGAAGGGAAAATAAGTATTGTGTCTGAATATACAAGAATACAATTTAGCATAATATTTCTCACTGTAACACAGAGCATAATTCTTTTGTGAATATCGCTATGACTATTGCTTTAAATAGCCTCTCACTAGGAAAATCTTCACTTACTTAGAAGGAAGTACATCTAGTTCACGAGTCCCAGGTAGAACGACAAGCTCTTCCTGAATTCTACTGCTAGCCATCACCAAACAAGTCACTTCAGGCATGACAAATAGGTGATTCAGTGAACAATCATTTATTAGTGCTTTAAACTATCGACATCAGGTGATTGCTCGTACTTGTATGAATAATGCGTTGTGCATTAGGTTTTCCATATGGGCAACACTTATGCCAAATAATAATAATTATAGAGTAAACAATTTGGTGTTTTCCTAGCAGGAATTTTAATTCATTGTTGTAGATTGTCATAAAAATTTTATGCAAGGTTTAGCTTTGACAAATAAACTGTTTTGCAAATCCATTTTGTTCGGTGAAACTTTAATACATCATGCTTCTATCTCAACTAAAGAACTTAAGTACATACAACTTATATGTAACTATAATTACTTTCGTGTTATGATACTGTGACTTCCTGAAGCCCTCGAGTTTCCAGTTAGTACAGCGCAAACTTTTGGTGCGAAGCTGTGACTGTTATCTGTTTAGGCACTCGACTTCCAACCAATATGTCACGGGATCGAATCTCGCTGCACCAACCGAGGTTTGAAGAGCCAGTTAGTAACACTAGCCTTTACACAACAAGTATGGCTCATTCCTATTCGCGTGGAATTGCAAGCGATTGTTGAGTAACATTCCATTTTCTCATTTTTTCATCATAAATGTTTAAGATTCACAACTCTTAAGATCACCTAGCCAGTATATTCTGATATCTATTAAAGGAATAAATACCAATTGAAGTAGCCGTACAAAATTCATGAATCTCTCTTCCATACTAGCCCAAATTGGCCGATTTTATGTTTTGATCGATTGTTAATATATCTGTGTTTCTTCACGTATTCTGATGATTTCACAGTTACCATTAACTTAAATATATCGTCATAAAGTGACGTATTTTAGGGTTTTAAGCTATGAATAGAAGTGAAGTGTTGTTCACCTTTCAGACACTTTTAAATATTTTACACTTATTTTTTCAATATTCCTTACCCAACTATTTTTCGTAATCTCAGCGTAAATATATCCTTTGATTTCAGAATACAGAATCCTCCTGTGAGGTGGTACCTACTCACGATTCTGTTATACTCTTAAAAGGTGATCAATTATCCAAATCTTCGAATTTACATCCTCATCTATCACATCTTTCCTCTCTGAGTAGCTCAATTGATTCTTTTACTGAATCAACTTGTTTTTCATTCAAACGTTCTCTATCATACGATTGTTTAACGAAACGACAACAGAATTTAAATTATACAGATACAGATGCACCAAACAACAATAATATGTTAAGGAATTCATTTTCTGAAGCAGTATTAGGTCGTTCGAATTTATCTGAATTTTTCCGCAAACAACTATGTGATATGAATGAAGAAAAAGGCTCAGAGTACCCATCGAATTTATCGCTAAAGGAAAAACAACATTTTCAGTGCACTTATGATACTAAGGGCGAGGTTGGCGCGGTGTATAATATGCCTGAAGTCAGTCAACAGGATCAACCAACTACTGAGAATACTTCATACCGCAAGATATCATTATCCTCACATTCTTCAGCAGGTACCGAATCATCTACTAATTCTGCTCGATCTTTTAATTCCCTAAGAAAGTATCCAAAACGAAGTGGTCATATCTTCGGTAAGTGTATTTATTTGTTTTTTTTTTCTGTCGTTTTGAGTATTTCTGTTTGAATGATTTGTTTCCGCCTCTCTAGTGTCATGTTTGTGTTGCGTAAAAATCATTAATTATGTAATTTTTCGACATTGCTTGAAATCATCTGTCACGTATTTTTCTTGCTAAGTCTCCGTCTTGAAGACGAGAGCTGCAGTTGTCTGTCCTATACAATCTCAAATGAATTGGAGTAATTCGTTGCGGGTGTAATTTTCATGTGTCTGTTTGCATAATATTTCATGAATTTATTGCTTGGTGAATTCATGTCTTTGTTTCAGTCCAACCATTCTTCATTTTTCCCAACCTAATTCAACTTCAAATAGCAGATCGCGTCGATGGAGGTGCTGGTTCAGCATACCTTAAAATTGTCCTTGCTGCTTCATTCGACGAAGCTTCACAACTCCATCTATCAGTATATATTCCTCACTTAATATTCTGTGTCTAACCTAATTATTATTTACTGCGATTCTTCTTCTAACTTAAGCTATTGAATGATTGCATCTTTTACTTGTATATCTGTATCTTCTGCTTTCGTCAACCTCATCTCACAACTATGAAGTAGGACAGAAGGATGGTGTCTGCATCAAATATGACAGAAGTTTACAGGAAGTGCTTTTGGAAGTGTGTGGGTGGTTGTTACTTCCCGGCTGCCCACACCGTGGAAGTTGATTGACTCTTCGGGTACCTGAAACAGAAAGAGGGTTAGTGTTGCGTGACCGCAGAGCCCAGGGGACATCTGCTTGAGGCTGGTCACACACGACCTGTATGAACTGGTTTCTGAGATTGGTTCCATATTAGTAAACTTACCGCCGGTTACGGACCACCGTAGGGTAAGTGGGGATGTACAATTGTTGGGGTCGACCTTTTCTAACCACCTCTCTCCGGAGTGGAGAGAAAACATAGCTGGCATACTGCTGTTACACCCCTGTTCCCCAGCAGTACGACTTCACCCTCAGACCCCCAGCATAGTGTAGGAAAGATTCTTACACAATGCCGCTTTTAGTCTAATCGCTATCCTAACAACCTTCCTGGCATGGTATGACCTGCAGGAACATTGGTTCCAGCCAGTGTAGCTTGTTGGGTCATTGCGATGTGCAAGCCTGACCACCACGTCAAGGTAGCAGCTATCGGTCGGGGTTTACAAATGCCGAAGGAGCCTTTTTTTATTCCGGTTAATACATTTTTCAGCAGCCAATTAGGGTTAACTCAGCTTTCGAAATCAGTTATTGGGGGTGGGTTGCATTACGAGTGCACTCAAATGTTTGCTCAAGACGGTGATAAAACTGCTTTTTCATTTCTTGTTACCTATACAGCCACTATCGTCTACATACTGTTAGTGAATAAGAAAACATTTCATCGGTTACATGTCATTTCCTAATATATCAGAATCAAACAGGTACTTATATTCTACAATTAAATAAGAGCTGAGACTTTGAACATCTCTGACAGACATCACTAGTTATCGTCATTACAGACATCAGCTTTACATAGACCCTTACATGGTTCAAATGTCTTGTTTGCCGTAATATACTTTATCAGTACTGTCTTCACAGCCAAACATTCATCGTCTGTCGAGTAGACAAGCTACACCTTCAGGTCAAGAAACTTGATAAGTGTATGAAAGAGGTTGTCGAGGGGAGAGGATTTAACCAGTGAACTCTAGTCGCAAAATTAAGAATAGAATTTGGGCACTGTGGTGGAGTATAGTTCCATACTAGACACGTTTATTTGATATAACACACAGCGATACAGTACTAATACATCATTGTATGTTACATCGAATAAACTTATCTAATATGGAAACGGACTCTACTCATGATCTAAAGTCTGTCTGGTTTTCTCGGGTTTGTTTTTTTCATGTTTCACTTAATCATTTTATGACTGTACACCTTGGGATGATTGGATTACTATGTTATTATGTTGGAAAGATTTTTACTCTTTCTTATGAACTGGTTGGGAAGGGGGGGGGGCGGTGCTGGTGGTGATATACACCACAAATGAATTACCACTTTAATTAATTTAGCCGTTAATTCATCCTCACCAACCCTAAATTCCTCTAGAGTCCAGCCATCATGTTCTGCTGCTGTTGCTTTGACTCGTTTTAGATTAGAAAAAAGCTTTCAGAACTTAGGTTAGAGTTGGAGAACTAACGTCAGCATTCTATTCAGACTAATAACACTGAGACTGTATTTCAATTGCTCCTTAGAGTATTCTGTCCAGCCATTCTGGAGAAACTATTGAATTTCTGTCCTTCTTAAAGATCATTTCACTGTTTTGTTTTGGCTTTTTGTTTCCTACTAGTTTATCTTTGTTGCCAAAAACGCTGACCTATGTGAACTGGTTTCTCTTTCTTCAAATCTTTTTCGTGTTTGTTTTTAATTTAGACCTGGCTTATAAAAATTCTTTGAATAAAAAAATGCTCTAACTAGTTTAATCCAAATATTTCTTCTGGTTTAATAATAATAATAATAATAATAATTGTTATTATATGGTTTACTATGAGACTGATTGAAAACATCCAACCATGTTTTCTGCATTCCTACCAACCATCTCATTTTCTTGATTATGTTTTTTTCAGAATTGGAATCCGTACATGATATTGGTGCAGAATTGACAGCTAATCCGAAATGGTACTAGTTATTATTATTATTGTTATTATTGATTATACTATAATACAATTTCATCAGTGTAGTATTGCATTGCTTATTTGTATGTGCAGTTTTTGAATGAATAAATAAATAAATATCTAGTGTCATAATCAATTGTCTGTGTGTATCCAATGTCACTGATGACTGACTGTGTGTGTGTCTGCCTAATTTTTTATACGGTAAATACTGACAATTAGTGACATCGTCAAGCCCTGAAGATACGCATATCATTGTCTTGCACACCACTCTACCTCTGTCAAACTGTCAATCATCAATTGAGGAGTATGAAGTGATACAATTGAAATTTGCATTTTTTTTCTGCTACTTTGGCGAGTTACTTAGCTTTATCCATCTGTGAAAGGCTTATTAATAATGCAATACAGAGCTGCAATTGGTGATTAGTTTAAGCACTTGTATTTCAACCAGCAGATCACGGATTCGAATTTGCTTAATTTTAAATGTTTTGTGCGGTTAGGTAATATCACAATCACACAAATTAGGTGTACCTCATTTTTAGTGTTCAATTATAAGTATCCACGTAATTAGTCTTCTGAAGTCAACGCTTTAGAATCCAATCAAAGCATCTAATACAACCCTATAGAAGACCAACCGTAAGTCTAAATAGCACAGTGGTAACGTCTCTGACTGCAGCACTAGGTGACTCGAGTTTGAATCTTAGAAGGGGCATGAGTTCCTTCAAGAATGCAGATATGCCTTGCTGACTGGTGAGTGCCAACAAGCACGAAACCTAGATCAAGCAAGCCTTCCTGCCGATTACCTCCAAGCATGTAATAACAACAATTCTGAGCGCACCGTGATGGTGAACCACTTACCTAGCCTGATGGCCACATTGAAAACTTGACTGATAGAATTCAGTCTGAACCAAACAATGGACTAGACACATGACAGCAGTTAGTGTCTAGTCAAAATATTAAACTTAATTCGAACCTACTTTAATGATGAACTCCTCTGTACTTAGCTATTTTATATGCTTCGTTTGCAGTAAGTACTCCACTTACGTAAAGGAACAGGCTATCAACTCTGTGAATGAGATTAACATTTGTTATGTAAGATTGAAGTATATATGATGGACAAGATTTGTAGCTCAGGCGGATGATTTTGATGTGGTTGTGTTCTCTGAGCTAGTTGGTTTATTTGAGAAGCTTTCATTGCCCTACCAGGCAACTTCTTCAGCGCACACTTCAATTTGAAGTGAGCTCTTAGATTTCTCCATGAGTTTATTAGTTATCTCTCCTTGTGGGTGACCTTGAACGTGATTGGTTGTTTTCGTGTTTTCACACCCTCTAGGCTACTTGCATTGGTATTGATTGTTTCCTTGACCTGAACTTTGACCCTTTGTGTGTGAGATTTCCTTCTTATCAATTGGTAAATTTTGTCTATGTCAATGTGTCTATTGATTGACGATTCACTGGAATACCAGGCGGCTTCTAAAAATTCTCTGGCATTCTTGGTGTTTCCTCTGTCTAATATTTGAACGTTGTCCCAGTCGAATTGATGTCCGTGGTTGTCTGTGTGCAGCGATATGAGCGAGGGAGTGAATGTCATGTCTTTTGACGGTTAGTTTTTACTGATGGATACTAAACGAAGAGGTTGTTCACTTTGACCAATGTAGTGTTTATCGCAGTCGTTGCAAGTTATTTTGTAGATGCTGTTGGTGTTATCTTCTTTCGTTGTTGAGTCTTTCGGTTGACACAGAGCTGAGTGAAGTAAAATCACTCGTGGAGAAATCTACAAGCTCACTTCAAATTGAAGTATGCACTGAAGATCTTGCCTAGTAGGGCAATGAAAGCTTCGCTAAAAAACCATCCAGCTCAGAGAACTGAACTACATCAAATCTGATGTTCGCTAGAGACTTGCTACAGGACAGAGTTTCCTGGAGTTCTAGTGAGAAACCGTGACCAGTGAGGTAGTCCATCCAGTCAAGTGTGAGAATGGATGTCCCACTGATGACATTGGTCCGTGGTCGCACTAAATCACGAATCGGTAGAAGTTAGAATTCATGGGATGGTCACTGAATCGGGTCCCAGTGGCCAGCTTGACTTGTTACCGGAAGGTCCTGGGCTCGAACCCTGGCAGTTGGTGCGTACTGCCGATGATTCTTAAACTAGGATGAACCAGCTGTCCAGTACTCAATGGTTTTCAGTGGTTCTATAACTGACATCAATCCGTGGTCAAACTCATATAATCAAATCTGATCCTTACAAACCAAACTCTTGTAAATAAAAAAAGATCCATTGGAGGGATCGTTTACACTAACTTTGAACAAGTTCCCTAGGATACCCAGTCGAACTTATTCAAGAACTTGTTGAATTTTCGAATTTTTTACTTTATGCAGAAACAGAATTAGCTCTTAAATCATTTTAGTATATTTAAAGTATTGTTTATTTGTTTCCTTTTTTTCTTCAAATCGTAATGAAAACTTTTCCATTCATTCAGCGTTGACAGTCTGTTAGACAGGAAAATGCACTCCAGTTATAATGATATTCTTAAATCAATTGATGTAAACAAAAAATTTGCAGTCCAGCAGGATGATCGGTTCAAGGATCTTGAGAAGGTGAGAAGATTATTTCATTGTGCATCTTTTGTTCTTTGTCGTCTACTTACTTCATATTGTCATTTTTCTAAGGTGGAACGTGATAAAATGAGTGTGCTAACTAATCATGTGTTAGTGTTTTTATACTAATACTAGGCGAAATGTTGTCTGACAACTGTTGATTTATGTTAGACAGTGGTTTTACTTTCAGTTCCGGAGAATTAGCTTGTTGGGATTCAACTGATTCACCCAGTAGAACAGCTGGATCTCGTCTTTCCAACTCATATCATTTATAGGTACAACGTCTTCTTTCTTTCTTTGCCTTTTCTCTCTCTCTTTTCTGTTATGTACTGCTTTGTTTCTTTCTTCCGCTTACGCCAGTAAATATGATAGCACCTACTTTTCTAACACCTTCAAGCACTGTTCAACTTTGGTTTTGCTACCGACATGCCAATATGTTATTGTCATAATGAACTGAGATTTCCTTAATCTATGTAGAATTCTATTTATTGATAATGTACTAACTGGATGCAATACTGTGGTAAAAATGCTGAGAATTCCATTCTGTATCACAAGCACTGTTTGGGAATAAAGCAAATTATTATATTATTCACAGATAGATATCGTCACAAATGGACATCAGTTAGAAAATAATGGAAAGCTGGGAAGAAATGGACAGAAGTTAGAGTTCACGGGTTATTTGATTCCAACCTTGTTACTGAATAGTTGACGGGTTCTTCTCGAAACGTGAAGGTACTAAGTCCTGATCAGAATGTGGGAATGCATACTTCTGAAGTCCTAAGTTAGTAAGAAACAGTTTTCTCAGTGCTTTTTGGTTTTCAGTAGTTCTTTAACTGATGTTGGCACATGCTGAAACCTGGCTTGCTTTATTTTTTCTCATTATGCATTAGTAGGGTAGATGTTGTAACTCTAATAATAATAATAATAATAATAATAATAATAATTTGCTTTATTCCAAAACAGTACTTGTGATACAGAATGGAATTCTCAGCATTTTTACTACAGTATTGCATCCAGTTTGTACATTATCAATAAATAGAATTCTACATAGATTGAGGAAACCGCAGTTCATTATTACAACAATACATTGGCATGTCAGGAGCAAAGGTAAAGCTGAAACAGTGCTTGAAGGTGTTAGAAAAGTGGGAGCTGTCTTATTAACTGGCGTAAGAGAGAGAAAGAAACAAAGCAGCACATAACGGAATAAGAAGAGAGAGAAAAGGAAAGGAAAGAAAGAAAACGTCGTACCTATAAATGATATGAGTTGGAAGGACGAGATCCAGTTGTACTACTGACTATTTAATGAATTATAGCTGTCACGCCTAATGCTTTCTTTATCACACAGAACACGAGCCAAGTAGGGTATGGTTGAGTTTTTGTACTTGCTGGTGCGAGCATATAGTTTTCTATATTGGCTTCTGGTTTTGCCTGATGAGATTCAAGGGGAGAGTTGTGAGTCAAGAGGGTGGTGTGAGTTAGATAAAATGGACTTGGCCCATTTTTCACATGAGTCCATGTGCCTGTCGACCAGAATATTAACAAGCTGGCTAAGTGGCACGTTGCTTACCCTACTGACAACCTTTAACACGCTGCGTAATATGTTATAGTCTTTCTTCAGTAGGCCGGGAAAAACTAAGGGGGAACAATAGAGAATAATAGGCAGGATGCGAGAATTAACGAATTGTAGGACTAAGGGTTGAGTAATACCAGAATGTTTTAACTTCTTAATGTAGAAGGTAAGACGGAATATTTTCTTAGAAATTGCTAAGATATGAGACGACCAGGAGAGATCAGCAGATAGAATGAGACCTAGGTATTTAATTTCCGACTTGGTTTCTATTTCAGTGCCGTCTATGTTGCATACCTCATGAGAGCCAAACAGTTTGTTTAGGTCGGATTTATGCCTAAAGGTGAAATTGACTGTTTGGCATTTGGAGGGGTTTAGAGTAAGACCATTTTCCTTGGACCACTGGCTAATTTCTGACAGAAAGCCATTAAGTTTAGAGCAGTCACTTTGACATTTGATAGGCAAAGATACAGACAGATCGTCAGCGTATTTGACAAAATTAATGTCATTTGAAGATGGTAAGTCATGTAGAAAGAAAGAAAAGAGAAGTGGGGAGAGTACAGCGCCTTGGGGGACTCTACATCCTCCTCCATAGTTTCCAATCTCAAGAAAAAAGAATTTGCGTAGGTTTATACTGGCTTTTAAATCCATTTCAAAATTATTATCACTAGGTTATGATTAAAGTCATAAACTTTCTGTCTTTTATTGACAGTTGACTGACGTCAGACAGTGCATATTACACATATAATGGTGCTTACATTCTTGAAATATTCATATAGAGAAAAACTACAACCAAAATGAAGGCATCAATTTAATCTAGGTGTGAATCTCCAGCTTCTAAGTTGATTAATTAAATTAGCTAAGATATCAAAAAGATACGGACAAATGGTGTATATAGATTCTGTTTAACGTTGTGCTACAACGATACTGTCTTTCATTGTAATTAGAACATACGGCTACTATATATTTTTATTTAAACTGAGAGAATTTTTAAAATTAATTAATTGCTTAATTCTAACTGTTAGAAAGTAAGTAGAAAAGATATGTTTCGACCGTGACAGTTTTTGTCATGAAATCTCTATAGCCTCATTACTAACAGTGTTGTTTTTTTCTTCTGCATGACCTAAATTAGTCAAATGAAAATGGCTTACTGTAAAGGTGACCGATATCATGAAGAATGTGAAATAGACAGCAAATATGGACAATGATGGATTTTTTGTAGCATAATTCAATATTTTTAGTACAACACTGCGTACATAACAGGATTTTTAAGGATCCTGGTTTCTTAATTCATTATTGCATTTTAAAATAAGCAACAAAAGTTAATAAAGCAAGATTTAATGAATTCGTCAAATTTAAGTAAGACTCTTCCACTGAAGGTTGAAGATGAGGCAGTAACTCGTCGAAGAAGACATTTCGAAGTGGTCGCGCTATGACGTGAATTGGCAGAAGTTAGAATTCAAGGACCATTGGATCGGGTCCCAGTGGCTCAATGGTCTACGAGCTCGCTAGCCCTGTAACGAGAAGGTCCTGGGCTCGAATCCCGGTGGGCGCGTACTGATGAAGAGTCCCAAACTGGAACGAAACAGCTGTCCAGTACTCCCAGGTTTTCCAATGGTTCTCTAACTGATGTCAGCTCATGATGAAATCCTCCATGTATACATATATATATACTCTTAGAAATACATTGGGAGATATAGGACTGATAAGCAAAATAAACTACATTGAATTAATCATGCAAACCGACGGGTGGGAATGTTTTCAGGTCATATTCAATTAGGAGAAGGGAATATGAAAGATTAAATTAAGATTAAATGCATTACGGTTCAATTACATCAATTAAACAAACAATTAGTCATCAGAAAAAGAACTTAAATATATATCAAGAATTGAGAACTAAGTAATAATAATAATAACAGTTAATAAGTAAAACATATTACCATGGTAGATTCATAGTGACGACCACTTCTTTTTGAACCCAGAGACCTGCTTTATAAACTCTAACTGCACAAACCTCCATAATTTGTAAGCATCTTCCTGTTCTTTTGTTTGCTGACAATATTGAATGACTTGACTGACAGCGTCAATATCATGTCCTTAGCCCACAAGGTGATTTGTTATTGAACTCTGTTTTCAACCACTTCAACGAATGCTCCATCATTCGAGTAGACAATCGCCTTTCTGTATTTGCTTCCACAAACAGACTCAACCTTATTAATATGTGTGTAAACCTTGGGCATTGTGGTAGTATGCAATTCCATACAGTATTATTTACTCGAAGACAAAGTTTCGAACACAATTTATGGTTCATAATCATATCAATTAAAATCACGCAATTTTTAAGTTTTGGTTTTGTAGGGATTTTGTTTGATTGCCTGGAGGATTTCATCATGAGCTGACATTAGTTAGAGAACCATTGAAAAACTTGGGAGTACTGGACAGCTGTTTCGTCCTACTGATGAAGAGTCCCAAACAAGGACGAAACAGATGTCTAGTACTCCCAAGTTTTTCAATGGTTCTCTAACCGATGTCGGCTCATAATAAAGTCCTCCAACCAATATAATCGCACAACTTCCCAGTCGGTTAGTCTGATGTACTCAGTTTGAAGTATCTGGGATTGGTGATTGGTCTTTCTCAGACTTGTGAAGCACTCGTTTGGTGGTGTTAAGGAAGACGACTTTTGCAGCAGTAATAAGTTCTCTTGATAGGTTTTTGATTTTAAATTAACTATGCTTCAAAATCTTTTCATTTGTTTTTTCCCAATTGTACTTCATTTCTCATAGTTAGACGAGTTTGATAAGAAACATGGGGTGGATTTTGAAAGCCGTGGTAAGTTGTTTTCTATACTCTGTTTACAGTTTTATTTCTGTTATTTTTATTTGATTCACATATATGTAGCTGGAAAACTAACGCGTGAGATAATTACTTTATCAAAATGGGTGGAATCACTTTTTTTTCTCCCCCAGTAATTATTAATTATATACTTCCTACTGTGCTTTTTTTTGCTTAACTAAGAAATTTTTGTAAATAACACCCTTTTTGTATTTTTTTAAATTCTAATCTAAATGAAGACAGAAATGCCTTTTCATCATGCCTAGTGTTTTGTGGTTGGTCAAGTTCACAATTAGTGAAAACTACTTCTTGCTCGTGATCAAAAAGTAGTATATTTGTGTCCTTCATACTTTACTGAAATCACCTTGATGCTCAACATATTGTTCACGTGCTTCTTATGTCATTAGATTTCTTTATTTTGGAGGAAAAGTACTTTATTGGGAAGAAAAATGTTCGTTTTTTCCTTATATATATATATATCTTTTTGTGAAAGTTATTCAGATTGGAATTTAGCTTCACAGGGCGTATACAACATACTTTATAGTCTTAATTGCCAGTGGTATTCATCCGCTTTTCTTTCCCTGTTCATTTCTGTGAAATATTATACTTTTAAAGTATACATGAAATTTCTCTTTAAGCATAATTTCACTCCTTGTTGCTAATCTGGTCGGAAAGGATTAGCATCGTGGGACTCTGGGAACCAACAAATCAAGCGCCTATCTCCCAAAAAATATGCTGAAGAAAATAGAGATGGTTCTGGGATACGCTGAGGAGACAGTTGAGTGATACCGTACGCCAGTCAAGCTCACAAGTAGAAACGGTGAGTTGGGTGTGGATGCAAGGGTGACATGGAGGGGATCGTGCTAGGAGGGGATGAGAGCTCCCTATAAGCTCTATAGGGAGTCGTGGAGGTAGGTAAAGAGGACTGAAAGGAACAGGATGAAATGGAGATGTGTTGTTGCAACCCTATATTTCACTCGAAACTTAAGGGAATCATATTAATAAGAACAATAATAATATCAGTATAATTATCATTCAATCTTATGCGAAATGTTTTCAGATTTAAATAACTTTTTCCCGGTACTTATTTAGAAATTGTTGATTATGACATACCATTTTATTATGCATACACCCCGTTCCTCACTGGATAATTATATCTGTTTGTATATGAACTCTTGGGACGATATGACCCACCAGTTCCACAAACATTGGGCACCGAGTGATGTGTATATATCTCAACGAAATTGAAGTAGATAATTCCAACTTTTCATCAGGGAAGTTCTGAGGAATTTCGAGCATAGATAAACTTTAGTCTGTTGAGTTTTTTTCCTTTTCTAAATGGTTTTCTAACCTGTGAATGAATACTTATAGTTGACTGTTTAACTAAGAAAATTAGAAAAGTGCTGCTAAGAGCTCCTAGCTTTGGAGTTGCAGTACATGGACAGTATCAAAATTACAAGCTGTTTAATTCTCAGCAATCGAAAGTAGTGCGTCGGTGGCTCGGCGGTAGGATGCTCGTCAACTGTGCATGTGGTCCGGGGTTTGACTCCCGCCTGGTGCACATCTTTGCCCCTCCCTCCCTAGCTGGTTGTAAGCCTGATAAAGAGGGAAGGTTGGGTGTGAGGTTAGCAACCCCATCCCGTAAGAAACACCACTGTTACTGAAATTTCAAAGCTTAAGCTTGAAGCCCTATGTTCCACTCGGAACACAAATGAATAAAATAAATAATAAAAATATAATCGAAAGTTAGAGGAAATGTGCGTAATTCGTATGAACCACTTATACTTCGGTTACAAATACTACCACGTGTGCGTCATCATTGGGAAACAAGGTTATCTTATAACCGTTCAAACATTCGGTGTTGTACTCCTACTGATTTTCACTCATGGTATATAGTAGCTCTAAATAATGTTCCTTTTTGTTCTGGAAACATGTTAGAGACGGGTTATATTTCACCACAAAGTCGATATTTATATATATCCATTTACATTACAATATTTTATCCATCTTTACATTGTTTCTGCTATACTCTAAATTAAAATTATTTTGAAATGACTAGTTTCCGTTATGAATTTCGACGAAACAATTCGAGAAAGTAATTTATGTGAATCGTGTAGTGTATTTGTTCAACACATTTCGAACAATCTGATCGCAAACGTACTTGTCATAGGAATATATATGTGAAAATAATAGTGCATTAATGGGTGAGAGAATAGACATAGGTCAAGGTAAAAGACTGTCTTCAAGGTCAGAATAATGACAACGGAGATCAATAAACCGAAGAAGAAGAAGGGGGATAATAGTACATCTGTCCTGGTATCAAAACAAAGTTTACGAAAGGAGGTTTAGTATGATGACAAATTGTTTTTGAACACATAAAGGTGGTTTAAGCTTCCTAATTTCTAGGGCTTCCAAAAACCTTAAGATACGTCCCAAAAACGTTTTATACATAGGTTTACGCTAGAAGAACTAGGTAGTCTGTTTTCACTATTAATGGGTTCAGGGGATTCTATTTGCTTCTTAAGTCCTTACTTGCGAAGATCGATGAGTCTTCCCAATATATATATGACTACATCTACATTTCAAAAATTGGTAGATACATTGGGATATGACACATGATTTTTCGTATGCTTCAAGAGCTTTGATGGATTTATAGGCTTCTTATGCTCATTTATTCGGATCTTTATTGCATAGAAAGTATTTTTAACCTCAGCATTCAATCTCTGTCTAATTATAAAGCTTCTATGATCATCTGTGTAGAGCAAATTGATATATACATCCTACTTGGTGGCAAGTTGGAGAATAGGTCTTGGTGGTCTGATCACTTCCTTATCTCCTTATGAACTTCTCTAAATAATTATTTTTACGAGTTGATCACGGACTGATATCATTTAGAGAACCATTGAAAACCAGGGAGTACTGGACAGCTGGTTCATCCTAGTTTGGGAATCATCGCCAGTACGCACCCACCAGCCAAGTTCGAACCCAGGACCTTCCGGTTACAAGTCAAGCTAGCTCGTATACCATTCAGCCAATGGGACCCGATTCAATGGCTCATGAATTCTAACTTCTACCAATTCGTGATTTAGCGCGACCCTAACACTGTCCAGTACTCCCTGGTTTTCAATGGTTCTCTAACTGATATCAGTCCGTGATCAACTCGTAAAAACATAACTAACCCTTACAAACCAAACTATAGAAATTAAATAATTATTATCAGCCAAATTTTCTGTCAGTTTTCTTTTCTCAACTTCAAATGAATCCTACTGGAGGCACCTCACTATGGCTCTTTTGTATCGAACAAGAAAGAAGCTGTGGTAATTAACCTACTGTCCTGTCCATGTAGGTTTTCTGTTTTAATCCCTCAGGCTATCGACAATTATCTTTCTCTTCTACAGACCTAAGTCAAATGTTTTTTGTTTTGTACTTCATTCATTCGATCTAAAATTGAAGTGACAGAACTAAGATTGTCAGTTATGATTAATTAAATCATGATCGACATATCTTAAACAGCAGTAGGATGTGTCTAGGCGCTAGCACATCTTAATCGTATCTAACTTAAGTGTCGTTGATTTTCATTTTACCATCGTTTGATTTGAATAATTGACACCATATTTTTTATTTTTTTAAAAAATCTTATTTTGTTTTTTTGTCCAGATCGTCCAGAATTTAAAAATAAATCTTATGAATTTATCAATAAGGATGATACTATTACTGTGTACAACAGACAAAGGGCTAAATATTTACGATTATTCTTACAACGTGCTTGTCATTCACAACATCAACAACAACAACACCAACAATTACAACAAGCACGCTTGATGCTACCTCCAGAACAAACAGATACCGATATGATGGAATCGGAAACAGTACTGCTCAATAATAAACGATCATTAACAAATAATAAACATTCAAATAAATATACCTCTACATATACAAACGGTGATTTGAATTTTAAATCATCTAATCATCGTATCTCTTCGTTAACATTCACTAATAAAAGTTGTTTAAAGTCATCATCACAGAAAGTGTTTTACAATTGCTTTGAAGCTAATTCTTCCTCTGGAAATGTTAATAATCGAGTAACAACCACTACGGATATTTCCAAGTGAGTATGGGTAGATAAAAGTCTTTTATGCTACTGTTACATGTTAACATATACTCTACAGAAGAATATTTAATCATGATAAGTTGGTGATAAAAGCTGGAGCCAAATTTCCTTAGAATATGGGATAACTTATCGTGAATTTAATTTCTTAGTAATACTGGTAGAGTCTTGTGTATCGTTGGTTTGGCGGTAGAATGCTCACTAATCATGCACGTGGTCCGGGGCTCGATCTCCCGCCGACGCACTCCTTTACCTCTCTCTAGGACTGGTAAAGAGGGAAGTTTGGGTATGAGGCTAGCAACCCTACTCCGTAAAACTAAAAGCACTGTTACCGAAACTTCAAAGCCTCAGCTTGAAGTGCTATATGTGCGTCGGTGGCAAAGCGGTTATGACTCTCACCGATCATGCACATGGTCCGGGGTTCGATCCCCTGCCGACGCACACCTGATATGTATGGTTGGCCTGCAAAATTTGGACTACCGATATCACATGCTGAAAATTCCATACCTGTACCAAAACTACGGTGTGGAATCAAGCTGTAATCAAAAAATAATAAATAATGTTCCAGTCGGAAGGTAAAACAATAAAAAAAACTGGTAGAGTCTTAGTTGTGATAACTTCGTTGTTTCTCAGATTCTTTTTCCATATTTATTAATTTTGAAAAAAGATTGTCACCTACATCTGGTTTTTATTAGGAAAGGTAACAGGTAAACACGTCAACAGCAGTTGCCACTGTAACCAGTAAAATATCTGCTAAATCTCCCAATATACTTCGAGGGATAATTTATCGCTTTCCAGTTTGTGTCTTTCTCTACATAAGTCGGATATTGTTCAGTACATTATCAGCTCAAATATAAAGCATAACAGTCAACCATTGTTTGTTGTTTTCCCTCCACAAGATGTAGTTTTAAAGGGATAGTTTAACAGAATGATTGGTGTTTGTCGAATCTTTGCTTTCTTTCGTGTGATAAATTCCCTTACTTTTAATTATTATTATTGTTTCCTTTAATTCCTAGACGAATATAGGGCTTCAGCCGTGCGTCTCCATTGCGTTCGGTTCTCTGCTAGAGTCTTCACCTGACTCCAAGTCTGACCACACGTTTTCATCTCCTCTTCACATGATCTCCTCCAAGTCACCCTTGCACTGACGACCAACTCGCCGCTTCCCATTCGGGTTCCACTCGGGGGCTTGTCTAGTGATGTCACTAGATGATTTTCTCAGAGTATGGCCAATCCATCTCCATTTCTTCCTGCCTATTTGTTTCAAAATCGGTTACTGCTGTGTTGGTTCGCTCATCGCCAGAGATCTCTGTTGCTGATCTTTTCTGGCCAGCCATCTGATCTTGAGTATTGAGCGAAGACAACTGTTAATGAAGGCCTGTAGTTTGTTTGAGATGCTCTTTATGACGCGCCAAGTCTCTGATACGTATAGTGAGTAGCACTGATTTCACATTGGAGTTGAAAACCCGGACCTTATTTTTCATGTTGAGTGCTGTTGACCTCCACACAGACTTGAGAGTAGTGAAAGCTTGTCTTGCTTTCCCGATTCTTGCTTTGATATCCTCGTCAGTTCCGTTCGCCTGTAGTTGAAACGACGGTTCCCAGGTAGGTAAAGGAGGTTGTTTCTTTCAGGTTGCTTCTATTTATGCTGATTGTTGTCTGTTGTTGTTGTTGCTGTTGGTGGTGTGCTCAGACATACGATTGTCTTTATCGTCAATACTATTACTATTATTATCACTGTGTACTATTTAACTTTGAGACGTGTTTTATCACTGTTTAATTTTCCCCAAGGTAAAATGAATTCATATTGTATTATTTCTTAGATTCTGATATCACTTAGTTTGTAAGCAGTCGGGGAGAATATACGAATTAATTCAAAATGAGTTCACATGATTCTGTTACATTTGTAATGCTTCATATGTTCAATTTTATCAATAGGAGGAACTATATAATTTACTAGTTATTTTCTATTTTCGTAAAGGGGATCTAATCACATTAAGTTTATCTGATTTAGTTTTTCAATGACAGCAATAACTCATCATCTAACTTATTGACTGTCGTACAATTGTTTGAGCTTGCAGCAGTTCTATATCAAAGGACTGCTTGATTAGAATAAAGCAAGAGTGACAAATGTAACAGGATAATCTGAGCTCATGTTTTTATTTTTATTATTCCGTGGATTCTTCTCAACTGGTTACAACCTGAACAATTCCAAAATTATAAATTAAATTAAAGATCTGAACATACTTTTTTTTAACAATGATATGGAGTAATTGATTGGAAATAAGAGTAAGTAACAGTGGTCATGGATGATGTAATCTGTTGAATAATTAAGAGTGAAAAGCACCGAGTATTTATCAAAAAAATTGCATGGCTAAGCTTGAAAACAAAAGGACGAAGTTCAACAGATGTTTTGTGGATAGAAACAAAGTTTAACTAGAAAGAGTATAAAAAGTAATGAGTTACGTAACCACAGAAAAATATTACTAATTACCCATTACTTTTTATACTCTTTCTAGTTAAACTTTGTTTCTATCCACAAAACATCTGTTGAACTTCGTCCTTTTGTTTTCAAGTTTAGTCATGCAGTTTTTTTCATAAACACTCGATCCTTTTCACCCTTAATTATTCAACAGATTACATCATCCCTGACCACTGTTACTTACTCTTATTTCCAATCAATTACTCCTTTTCATTGTAAAAAAGAGTATGTTCAGATCTTTAATTTAATTTATAATTTTGATATTGTTCGAGTTGTAACCAGTTGAGAAGAATCCACGAAATAATAAAAATAAAACCATGAGCTCAGATTATCCTGTTACATTTGTCATTCTTGCTTTATTCAAATTTCTTGATGAAAAGTATTGTATGAACTGTTTGATTAATTCGACTAAGAGATCATAATGATTCCTGAACTCACCGTTGTTTTAGTAACTTATTCATGTATTCTGTAAAAGATTAGTGGTAATATATATAGATAATTCAGATAACGTTTAGTGGGACAACTAAATTAACAATTATGGATTGAAAAGACAGAACTAAGAAGACTGATCAGCAACTATATAAGATCCTTTCTAGGTGTGTTTGTGTTCCCTATTTATTACTTAAAGCTATTATGACAGTTTTATAGAAGTGAAATGCCAATAAATCAGATGATACAAAGCTATGAAGCTTTATGCATTGAGATTACTGTGACGTATATTACATATGCTCAGTTACTGCTTGTTTTAAAATCTTGTTGATTGAAGTCGGCTTTAATTAGGCATACAGTGAGATAACAATAACCAATGTATCCCTGGTTTTCTGTTTGAGTTGGAGATTATAAAGATATGTCAGTATCTCTGGCTGTTGACAATTATTATTTCTAATGAATCCTGACACTATTTTTTATCTTATGTTATCTTCCTTTTTGTAAGCTTCATTTTTGATGTACCAGTAAAATATCTGCTAAATCTCCCAATATACTTCGAGGGATAATTTATCTCTTTCCAGTTTGTGTCTTTCTCTACATACGTCGGATATGGTTCAGTACATTATGAGCTCAAATATTAAGCATAACAGTCAACCGTTGTTTGTTTTTCCTCCACAAGATTTAGTTTTAAACGGATGGTTTAACAGAATGATTGGTGTTTGTCGAATCTTTGCTTTCTTTTGTGTGATAAATTCCCTTACTTTTAATTATTATTATTGTTTCCTTTAATTCCTAGAGGAACATAGGGCTTCAGCCGTGCGTCTCCATTGCGTTCGGTTCTCTGCTAGAGTCTTCACCTGGCTCCAAGTCTGCCCACACGTTTTCATCTCCTCTTCACATGACCTCCTCCAAGTCACCCTCGCACTGACGACCAACTCGCCACCGCTTCCCTTTCGGGTTCCACTCGAGCAATGGCTTGTCTAGTGATGTCACTTGATGGTTTGTTTTCTCAGAGTATGGCCAATCCATCTCCATTTCTTCCTGCCTATTTGTTTCACAATCGGTTCCTGCAGGGATGGTTTGCTCCCAGAGATCCCTCCCTGTTGTTGATCTTTTCTGGCTGGCCATCTGAACTTGAGTACTGAGCGAAGACGACTGTTAATGAAGGTCTGTAGTTTGTTTGAGATGCTCTTTATGACGCGCAGTGCAAGTCTCTGATCCGTATAATAGCACTGACTTCACATTGGAGTTGAAAATCCGGATCTTATTATTCATGGTGAGGAGTGCTGTTGACCTCCACACAGACTTGAGAGTAGTGAAAGCTTGTCTTGCTTTTCCAATTCTTGCTTTGATATCCTCGTCAGTTCCGCCTGTAGTTGAGATGATGCTTCCCAGGTAGTTAAATAAAGGAGGTGGTTTCTTTCAGGTTCCTCCCATTTATGCTGATCGTTGTCTGTTGTTGTTGTTCTTGTCCAGGAATCTTCATCACCTCTGTTTTCTTTATGTTCACCTGAAGTCCTATCTTCTCTGGATGCCTTTTCTGCCAACTTGTACTTTTCATTACAGTTTCAAATATGCAATAAAGTTTAGAAATTAGTTACTGACTCGTCTAGATAAATAATATAGTTTAATTGCATTCGTTGTTTGTCGTGTCATTTCTTTCGACTAATTTTGGTATTCTTATTCTGCTGAATCTTCGTATACTGGAATTGGAATTGTCTCAGTCATTTTCTAACCACAACATATTATAGGTTTCAACTCATTTCTGTATGTATGTACAGATTTGGCTTGTAAATGTGCCTTTTTCCATTGTGCTCAGACATACGATTGTCTTTACCGTTCTTACTATTACTATTATTATTATTACTGTGTACTATTTAACTTTGAGACATGTTTTATCACTGTTTAATTTTCCCCAAGGTTAAAAGAGTTCATTTGGTATTATTTCTCGGATTCTGATATCACTTAGTTTGTAAGCAGTCGGGGAGAATATACGAATTAATTCAAAATGAGTTCATATGACCCTGTTACATTTGTTATGCTTCATATGTTCAATTTTATCAATAGGAAGAACCGTATAATATACTTG